TTATCATTTACGTTCTTTCCCAGTGTTGTGACCAATTACTGCAAGCTTAGTGACCCAAAACAACTGACATTTATTGTGTTACTCTGTAAATCAGAAGTTCAAATCAGAGTCTTTGGAACAGCACAAAGGTATTGGGAGTTGGCAGGGACACCTTTCTCCTGCCGGCTTAGGAAGAGCATCCCTTGCCTTGCCTTTCACAGCTTCCAAAGGTGGCCCACGTTCTTTGGCTCTTGGTTGACAGTGAACAGACTTTTTCTTTCAGAGCCGCACCTCCTTCTCTGACCTTCTTGTGCCCCTCTTCTGTAAAAGAACTATGGTGACTACACTGGGAGCATCTGGATTCCCAGCAAGATTCTTAGCTTCATCATCCTGCATAATCCCTTTGCCGTGTGCACTTAATTTCCTATTGCCTTTATAACGAGTAACTATATACTTAATGACTTATAGCAACACAGATTTATTATCTTATAGTTCTTGAGGGCCATGGTCCAAAGTAAGTTTCATTTAGCTAAAAATAACCAAAATGTAGGCAACAGTACGTTCCATCTGGAGCTTCCAAGGGAGAATCTTGGGAGTCTGTGTCTTTGCCCTTCTACCTTCCAGAGGCTACAAGTAGTACTTTTATGGCCTCATCTTCCATAGTTTTCAAACCCAGCATCTAGCACCTTGAAATATCTTTCTCTGAATACTCCTTTACTTCTGTTAGCACACTTCCATTTCTCCAACAGTGACCTGTCTGCCTTTCTTAGTAGGATTCTTACTATTAGCGTTTGACCCACCCCGATAATCCAGGATAATCTTCCCATCTCAACATCCTTATTTTAATTATAGGTGCAAAATCCTGTCCGCCATGTCAAGCAACTCTTACCCAGGTTGCAGAGATGGAAATGTAGACCTAGGGGAATAGTCATTTTACCCACTACACCAACTTTATGTCCAAAATCCCTCTTAAATGTGTATTTAAATGGTTGCAGTACTCAATGGGCATTGACTTCTACATTCCTGTGTCACGATCTGTTTTCACTATGACCACTTTCAGCCCCTGAAGTGGCTTGAACCTCTTCCTACTTCTGCTGTTTGTTCCCTTTACCCCAGCTGAACCCTCAGATTTTCTTTTGTGTTTACCAAGGATCTTTAGTCTTTTCATATTCTGAGGGTGTATAAGAGGGGAACACCATTTTATTACTCACTTCTATATTTTGCTGCTAGCTACGGCAGATGATTGTGCTTTTATAAAATAAATTTACAGAGTATATTTGGGTATGACAAGAAGATGATTTTAATTTAAAAATTTTACAGGTATTGTTAGGAAATGAGGAGAAAGGGAATGATTATGGAAACTCTTGGAAAGGTCCTTCTATACAATGAAATGCACAGGGTGCATTTAGTCTCTGCAATTTTATGAGAATCACATACGTAATTAGTCACGTGACTGACAATGTGAGTTCTTTGGAATTCAAGGGCTATCAGTGCACCAGTTTGAGAAAGACCTCTAGCCCTTTTTACATAGATTCCTTAAAGAAGAATGTATGAGTCCTAACTGCTGTGGAAGCGGCACCTTCTCTCCACTTATTATGCGGGGAGGCTTGGTGTTTCTGCTCCTTAATTTGTCCCTGAGAGATGTGATCAGCAAGGACTGACTGTGCATTTGAAGAACCTTGGAGTGAGGAGACAGAATTATCTTGATGGGAATTGAATAGCACAACAGTTATCCCTGAAAAGGAAACCAATAAAGGTGGACATTAGCCACAGATCCAAGGGAGAGACATTCCCCACAGTTTTACTGGTACTTGATTTCAGCAGCCTCCTGTCAGTTCAGGTTCCTGAGAAGCAGACATCGTGATAGGATTAAGGAATCAGTCATGCAGAAGATTACAGGGGAAGTTGCTATGAAGGACCAACAGGAGGGAACGGGAACAGGCAGAGTGATCCTGAGAGTGGTGTTCACAGTTTGGAGGTCCCATAGCTGCGCACAGTAAAAGAGAACTTAGAGTGGAAAATGTCCATTCTGAGGTTGTCATGATCCTTATGCTGGACAGTCTCCAAGCCAAATTTGCCTGTTAGAGAAACCCTGCACTGGGCAGGAATGTGTCAGCATCACTGCTCACACTGAATTCACTTGTCCTGGAGCAGCCCAGGGAAATGTGACTATGTCACCCCTGGAGCAGCAGGTGGAGGCCATCGTTCAACCGAATTTCATGCCGTGGGTTCTTTTGAAGGGACACCTAAGTGAGACACCTGATTCTACCACAGTCCACCCCGGGTCCCTGCGTATCCATTTCTTCATGTTCATTCTGGGAGTAGCATGAGATTAATTTTAATTTTAACTTTATTCCTTTATTTCTGATAATCAGTTACTACGCCATATAGACAAAAACCATCATAATCTCTACTGTAACAAAATATGATAACACTTTAATTATTGATATTAATTTCAAGGTTAAAATAGTACTATATATGAGGGTTATACAAAACATGCTATTTTATGTTGAACATTTTCAATCAAAATGTATTTGCGATATTTATTTGCATGGAATTATTGCCCATACATTCTCATTGCTATATAATATTCTCTTATATAAATTTAGCAGGTTTTAGGTTGTCTGACTCTCACTGAGTTCTTTCCGTCAGTCTCAATTTAGTATAAGCTGCTTTAATAATGTCAACTTCTTGATTTTAAGGCTCAGCTAAGGTCTCCCACCTTGGGTAGAAGTTTTAATCCATCTGGCTAATCAAGGAGAGTGGGATATCCATGTTAATTCTATGTCTAGAGCACTTTGAAAAGTAGAGTAAGACTGCCTCCTTTCAGGATCTAAAGGTTGTAGAGGTAGGCCTGGATGCTGAAAGAAGCAGGAAGACCAGGAAGGGCTATTGCTACAAAACTGCCATCTTGAACAACTTTAAAAAAAATTCAACCTCCCTTTTCAGTATAATTGTTTTTCTGTAGTGTATTCAGCACCAGCACCATTGCAACAGTAATAGAAGGATCAGGGTAGGCATGAGATTATCTGTGGAATGGATTTTTGAGACATATTGTATTTTCATACAATTCCTTATGCAACTTCAGATTTTACAACCTACCGTAAGACTGATTAGATGTTCATGGAACATTCTTTAATGATAACATGATTTAAAAACCAGTGTGAAGATCTTGGCTTGCTGGTGCTTACACCTAATATTCCATCACTCTGGGAAGCTGAGGCAAGAAGATTGCAACTTCAAACTAGATCAGTTCAGTGACTTAGCAAAACATTTTCTCAAAAAAAAAAAAAAAAAGAAAGAAAGAAAAAAGAGGTGAAAAGTGCTGATGGAGATATAACTTAATGCAAAGCTCTGGTACAATTCCCAGTATTGTAAAGAAACCAGTTGGAACTTAAAAATCAGTGTTTCTGAATAATTTGCAGCTAGTTTACTTTGGGACCATCTACATACAGTGTGGGAGTCAGTCAGCATGATTCATTTCTACTAGGTTCTTACCAAGCTCGCCCCGTTGCTGGACTTCCACATGCTCAGCACTCTAGCTGGAGTGTTTTTATTCCCATTTGTCTGAGTGTTCCTTGTCCCTTAAGGTTTGTTCTTTATTCAGAAATGCATGTCACCTCTACCTTCTCTGAAATCCATAGCAACTCTCATCTAACTCTCATATATCATCGCCTTGTAATTTGTACATTGATTTGCTGTCCTCTTCAACCAAATGGAAAGATCCTTTACCATTCAAATTATGCCTTAAATGTATTTGAACTTGTTATCCACTAAATTTATTTTAATTCCATATGTTTTCCAAATGTTTTTTGGAAAATAATTGAAGTAATTAACCAATGCAATAAGGTTAATGCAGTTGTAAAAGAAAATAAAGCCAAGAAGAACGAAGCCAATAATCCAACCACAGTAATTGTGCTGAAATATCAACTTGGCTCTGCACAATCTGAGCAGCTAAAGTCAAACAGTAGAATATTATTTAGCCCTCACGATATCAAATAAAAGGAACAATAACTCTTTCATTGAAATTTTGTTTATGTTGGTACTAAATTTCATGAAAACTATCCTGTTGGATTTTATTCTCATAGTAAGTAGAATAATTGTTTCCTTAATTCACTCAAGGAATGTCTATTGAAGACCTGTTGTATGTCTTTGGATGTTTCATTTTGCTTTTTTGAAGGTAAAGGGAAGAGGTTTGAATAAAGATTAATATCACTTGTTTTTCAAGTTGTGGGAGGTTAGATAAGTAAATAGATCATTCATCCTGGATGATAAATGTTTTAATAGAAATAAGATTAGAATTGTCCTATATATGAGCACCAGCTCAGATATGGAATGTTAAAGAAAACTTGTACATGACACTGGTGTTGGAAACACATTTTCAAAGCCATTGGAAAGTTATCTCAGCAGGATGGGGTTTGCTGCCAAAAAGAGAGGTAACAGAAGAGATGCCAGAGACAAGAGCAGCATGTCTAAAGACCCAGGGGCAAGAGCGAACAGGGTTTCCCAGGGACTATGCCTTGGATCAGAGCCTTAGTCATAAAGGGATTCACATGCAAGTTAAGCAACTTTGCGTTCAAAGTTCTTCAAAAGTCAGGGAGTTGTGCACACTGTGATGTCAAGGTACAAAGGTAAAAAGCAGCAAGACCCGAGCCTCAGAGGCATGTGAGGCAGCATCTGGAGTAGGGATAGGGATGAAAGTAACAGCACTGCTCCCACCAGAATGTTAATCAGGGGGGCTAGGGATTTAGCTCAGTGGCACAGCGCCAGCCTGGCAAGCCCGAGGTCGTGAGTTTGATTCCCGGTACCGGAAAAAAACCCCAAAAAAACAAAAAACCAGAATGTTAATCAGCCATGTGTTCCATATTAAGAAAGAATGGGGACTCCTACCACCTACCTGCTCTTCTCATGACCAGCAACAAAATACCGGGTATTCAAAGCAAAGGTAATTGTGTTTATTTCTGATCTCCTATGGAAAGCCTGAATAATGGAATTTCTTTCTCTCTTCCAAATTTGGGTAGAATTATCCTATGCTTGGATCTTCAATGAATATCCATCGTTTGTTGAAGAAGATAGTCGGAGATTTGTCTCTCAAGAGACAGGGCACCTCTACATAGCAAAGGTGGAGCCGTCTGATGTGGGAAATTACACGTGTGTGGTTACAAGTATGGTGACAAACGCCAGAGTCCTAGGCTCTCCAACTCCTTTGATGCTGCGTTCTGATGGTATGGAATGTCTTCAAGGATAATTCTTGGTACAAATGGTGTTGTGGGTACAGGCAAAACCGAGTGAAAATATATTTGGAAGAATTATTGCTTCCTTTCTTTCTTCATTAGACAAGAAGGAGGGAAGAAGAGAAAGAGGAGAAGGGGGAGAGGGGCAAAGCAAGGAAGAGAAGGAATGACTGTGACCAAAATACATCATGCACACTGAAAGCCCTCCCTCAGTGAAGTGAAATTAGCGGAGGGGTGGGGCATGAAGGTGATGAGGATGAGAGTGAATATTATGCACAGCAAACATGTGCTAATGAAACACTTAAAGGTGATTCTATAACCATAATCTTTACCCCAGACCACGTTTATAATTTGCAGGGACCAATACAAAATGGAAACAAGGACTCACTTTCTTGTTCAGAAATGATTAAGAATTTCAAGACAGTGACCGCAGAGACCCCTCAGAGCCTGCCCCCCGGGCTGCATTCCCGTCCCTTCCGTGAAGTCACTGGTCCTGACCTTTGTCAGCTTGAAGTGAAATTAAAACCCTGAAAACCCTGAAAAGTTTGTTATAGGCTAAAAAGTATCACTAAAAAGAAACTAGATAAAAAAATCTGTCACAGCAACACAGAGATGGCTGTGTGAGAGGGGTTTATAAGTTACAGAGGAAGCCAATTTGTAAGCCTGAGTAGTTGACCCATTTAAACTAAACTGTACCTGATACAGCACAATGCCAGAACCACGAAGTTTCAGAATACCTCTTTCCTGTCAGTTATAATTGTGTCTGACCTTTCCCATTTATAAAGTCACTGTTTGTTGACACCAGGGAACCATTTAATAACTTTAAGATTAAAGTGTGTCCGTGTCGGTGCTACCAGGGTACCATTAAATAAATTAAGTAAATTCCCTAATGTAGCTTTTGTTCCATGGGAAATTTTACGAAGTCATTGTATGTTTCATTTTGACTAGAAATGTCCAAACTGAACACAGAGTTTCAACAGTCTTACCATTTTATATAATGGGAAAGCCATAGAGGTTTTAGTAGAAATGCTCTCTACCAGATAACTTAGGACTACTTCAGAATTAGCAAATCCAAAGTTCTTAGATGTTTATTTTTTTTTTCTTCTTAGATGTTTATTAATGTTCACATTTGATCCCTGTTAGCATCAGTGAGTAATTTACATCACTAGAAGATGCTGGTTCAAAATGGAATAAATAGACAAGTATGGTGATTTAGGTCTATAATCCAAGTATTTAGGAGGCTAAGGCAGGAAGGTTGCTAGTTCAGGACCAACCTGGGCAGCATAGCAGAATCTTGTCTTAAAAAATAAAAAACAAACAAACCAAAAAAAATTGAGCAAAGAAAATTTTAAAACATGGCGCTGGGGATTTAGCTCAGCAGCACAGCGCCTGCCTGGCAAACACAAGGTCATGAATTCAGTTCCCGGAAGAAAGAAAAAAAGAAAAAGAAAGTTTTAAGACAAGAAGGCAATTTCAATGGAAACATTAACAGTATTACCTCTGTATTGTGAATCACAGGTGTGATGGGTGAATATGAACCCAAAATAGAAGTCCAGTTTCCAGAAACTCTGCCAGCAGCTAAAGGTGCAACTGTGAAATTGGAGTGTTTTGCCCTTGGAAAGTAAGTTTTGTCACACTCGATATGCTCTAATGTTAGGCTGCTGTAAGATAGCAGGGCAAGTTTTGAGAGGTGTCCTTTCTTCACTTTCTAAAATGTACTAAAAGTGCATCTGCAGTGCAGGTTGGAGGAAGCCAATTTGGAGAAAATGGCCATGCCTGATTAATTTCATAAAGTAAATTGGTGTTATTTTTCTTTTTCCTGTTCATTTGTTATATTCTAGAATGGTGGTATGTATTAAGCTTTTTTTTCTGTAATTCATGAATTGACTCAAGAAAATGCTCAGCATATTGTATTAAAATATCAATTTAAAGGTTTAAATATGCTAAAATATCAAATGGAAGAGTTAAATCTTTGTGTCATGTTTATGTAATTGACAACTGGAGGTGTTACACAGTTAAACTACTGCTTTTTCTCTATCTTGACAAACACTTTGTCAAGACATAAATGCTTCCAAATAACAGAAGACAATGTGACAACTTTCCTCTTAGCCCTGTGCCTCAGATTAATTGGAGAAGAAGTGATGGGATGCCATTTCCAGCCAAAATCAAGTTGAGGAAGTTCAGTGGGGTGCTGGAGATCCCCGCTTTCCAGCAGGAGGACGCTGGGTCCTATGAATGCATTGCTGAGAATTCCCGAGGAAAGAATGTAGCCAGAGGGCGTCTCACTTACTATGGTAAGCATCCCCTCTGGGCGAGTTGAATTTGTAACTTTTGCTCCCACATCTAGGAAACACTGATTATTTGGGGGTGGGAGAGTGATTAGGGCAGAATTTCAATTTAGTTTTTACTTGTTTTGTTCTCCTTTTGTTCAGTGAGTGTAAGCATTTATCCTAAGAGGGAGGAATTAAAAAGAAAGAAAACTTTTCAACAACGTTAGAGACATATTGCTTTTCTATCTGAAAATGAATCATAAATATTTCATACTTTTTTTCTAAGATTAACCTTTCACATGCTTAAGCACATTAGAGATCTTTTCTGTGTATCCTCTCTTCTAGGAAAGGTAGTTTTATAACATTACTACCTTTACTAAGCAGGAAAAATCTCCCTGGTAGGTAGAAGTTATAATTTCTGTATTAGTCAAAGCAAATAAACTCAAGATTGGGTTGAGTTATTCAGTATTATTCTATCCCTTCAAATAATGTATCTGTGCTCTATTTGTTGCTTTTAATATGTAATCACATTTATTTGATGTACTGCATAATTTGGGTAAAGAAAGATAACAATGTACGGGGCTGGGGATTTAGCTCAGTGGCAAAAGCGCCTGCCTGGTAAGCACAAGGTCGTGAGTTCGGTTCCCGGTACCGGAGAAAAACCAAAAGAGAAAAGAAAATGATACTTGATACTGATATAAAATGTGGCCAAATAGAAAGATAACAATGTTGCCTTCATTTGGAGTCTATTTGTAGAAGAATTATGTTCTTTTTTTCTTTCCAAAATTTGTTTTCAAATGCCTTATATTTAAAAACAAACCACTAGGTTTGATGAAAACGTATTTAGAGAGTATAAATAATCTGATTTTACGAAGTGTACCTGTAAAATACATGAAAATGTAAGCTCACTGAATACGTATTTCCAGTTTAATCATTTGAAACATTGTAAAACTACTGGGAGTTCACCAATTTGTGAAAGGCAAATTACATTATAGTTTATTTATTTTAGAGACTGGAAATTGGTACAGTTTGCAATACAAATTCATATAGCACACACAAACGTTACAGGGAGGAAAATGTTTACAAAGACAATTATTGAAATCATAGGACCTATTATGAACCGCTCAAAAGTGTGAGGCCTGTATTATCTCTGTCAAGATTAATTCTTGTTATGTGAATGTAAGTTTTTAGCTCTGTCAAGAACAAAATGCAGATAAGCATATGAGCATGAATCATTCTGTAACTCTCCTATGTTGTGATGTGATTAGTTTAGCATATGGGGAAGTGTCCCACTGGGGAAAGTCAAGGTCTGTGGCTTGTTGGGAAGATAGGGAAAAAATAATATTGGTAGAGAAGTAAGCAGTGAATTTGTGTGTCTGTCAGCTCTAAGACCCCACAAAGCAAGTAACATTTTCTTAGCCACTAGCCTACTTCTTTCCACAGCAATTAATTTTGTACAAATTGAGCAATACATCCAATAAATGTGATTATGTTCTTCTCTTAGTTGAAGAATGAAATCATGAAGAGAAAGAGAAGTCAAAAGAGTGTTTATTGGAAATACTAAGTAGAAAGTAGTTCTTGGGGGATGCTCACCAGGAGGGGGTCCTGGAAGTGGAATTGGCACCATACTTTCTTTGTTTTGGACTTACAGAGATAAACAGAGTTCAGTAGAATTTGTAGAGTTGTTTTTTGTTTTTTTTTTAATCAGTTACTTAGCTGGGCAAGTTCAAAGGAAGCTGGTTATTTTGCATTTCTAATGTTCAGTCCTGAGATAGGGAGGAGCTGTCAAATAGCACAGAATACTCTGTATAAGAACCTTCTTAGGCAGACGGGTCCTTCTCGCTCCATTCCTATGCTAATCTTTTATCTTTTATCCTGTGTTTTCTTTTTACATTTCTAATTTTAACTAGCTGCATGACTTGAATTAGCTCAATGTGTGTGTGCTATTTTCTTTTTATCCAACCAGCTCTATTTTAGGTTATTTTTTCTGATAGGCTAACTAACTAAACTGTCTATTATATTCTATTATATTCCACTACATTTCTCTATGAGCATACCTGATCCCTTCCAGAGCAAGAGCAGTCTATTCCAAGTGTATTAATGTTTCAATGTGACAGCATACCTGCATAAATAATGAGCAAGGATATGCCTCGTGATGAGAAAGCCGAAATTAAATTGACCTTCAAGTACTTTTTCATCAGTCCATGACTGTTTCTATTTTTTCTTGTTTCTGCACTGATCTATCAGCTTTCCCCTTTCTACATATTATTTCCACTATTAGATAAAATGACCACCAGCAATGTCTAGCACATCAAGTGTTATTCATTCTTCCTTTCTCCAAAACATCTAGCGTTCTTCTTTTCAAATCATATTGGCTATGTGTTCAATCCAAAACCAGCCTCTGGAAAAGAGAAATTGGATTAGATAGTTTGAAACCTCCCATTGCAATAGAGTATATGATCAAGTTTCCCTATTTATAGATAATAGGAAGTGATATAAGACAAGATAACAGAAAGAAAAACTGAAGTTATTGGTGGACTAAAGATGAAAGGAATTTAGTGCAGAATAGAAAATCAACAGCTTTTGCAATACTTAGTAAAGGAGGTAGACTTTTGGTTCAGTCAGTTTGGTAGATATAATTTGTACCCAAGAAATAAAGTAGATATTAATGACATAGAGTTTCCTCAGCTTGCTGTATAATTTCTGCTTAATTGTAGTATTTTCAATAAATTCCATATAGTTCTCTGGCTATCTGCTCTAATATCCCATGTAAAAATGGTCCAAGAAAATATTTGGATCTCATGTAATGGATAAAGAAGGAAATCATGATTAATGTTGCTGTTATAATCTTAGATTTAACTTAATCCAGCACAATATCTTCCTGTTTGGATAAGAAAAATTCCTAACAATTTTTATGAGGAACTCGGGTCTCCGTCAGAGTTTCGTGTGTAAATGTGTTTGCAGTTTCATTGCATCATAGGCTAATAATACCTGAAAGCGGAAAATATGTTTTAATATAAAATAGATAGAGGTACCAGAACTGAACTATTCTTTGTTTTGACCAAATAGTTTTTAGTAAAAAAACAAAATAAAACAAAAAAGGAAAGACTTAGACCCGTACACTTTCAGTAAAAGCTAAATACTCATGGTTTCAGTTCACTTTCATTTACAAGAGAAGCAATTTTATGGGACAGAAATGCAAAGACACATCTTCCCATAGTTACAATTAAATAGAAATAGATAAACTGTTTCCCCATATGGAGGATGCAAATGTGAATCCCACGGTACACACCACATGCATAATGCAATGTGAAGCCAGTAAGACATCTCACCTCCCAGTTTTGGATCTAAAACACAAGCTGAGACTTGGCTGAATATATTGTGTATATTGAGTGGCTTTCATTGGAAGTGGAACGTTGCTTTCATCTGCAAAAAGAATTTTTCAAATACTTTGTAAAATATAAGTGAAAATGATTAATCGACTTGCTCCAACTGATTTACATACATAATTTGAAGTAGCATCAGTTACTTCTTTTTCTGTTCAAAAAAACTCATATGGTTCACATTAAACCAATTTATCCATCTTTGGCTGCTTTCCTTTTATTTCACTCAGAGGTTTGTAAGAGACTCACTGGTTTGTATTTAATTAAGAGTTATTTCTGACTTGAAGGAAATATCTTTTTCCTTAGCTTTAGAAGTTTCTCTCCTATGAATGTTAATATTTAGTTTTTAATTAAGAGGAGCGTTTGCTGTCACTCAAGTTGTTAGAATGTCACCAATTGTGGTCTCATTACCCAAAACTATACTTGGAATAAAAATCAATTTTGTACCTTCATTGCTACCTATTAATAGATACCTGAGGAATATCACCCAGTGCTCCAAACTTCAAAATGAAGAAAGCATAGCAAGTTTTGCTTAGGACATGACAGACTGCAAGTGTAGAGATGTTTCATAGTCCGCTTAGTCAATACTGAAATAAATACCATTCTAGTCTCTCTGCTAACTTTAATCTATCACTTGCAGTTTTACATTTATTTTTATTTACTTGGATAGAGTCTTTATTTTTTATTTGCTAGATTGTCTGAATTCCTTTTCTTACATTACAGCAAAGCCTCATTGGGTTCAATTCATAAAAGATATGGAAATGGCTGTGGAGGACAGTCTTTACTGGGAATGTCGAGCAAGTGGGAAACCCAAACCCTCCTACCGATGGCTAAAAAATGGAGAAGCCCTGGTGTTAGAGGTAAGATAATGTGCTAGGCCAGTTTCTCTCTACCTGCTTCATGTTAAGTAAATGCTTACTTTGGTTCCTAGTACCAAAGTAAACAATTGAGTTTGTACAGTTTTATTTTTACCTAAGCAGTGCTAAGAGATTATAACATAAAAACCCATACCCAGTCTGCCAATAAAGTCTTCTCAACATTGCATTTCATTGGGTAAATGTGGTTTGGGGAAGTTAGTTACAAACTAATGTACTGTTTCTTGGTACTAAAACCAGAAAAGTCTATACTTTAATCAAACGTAGAAGGTAATTTCCTTTCCCTGTTTGACAACTTAGCATGTCCTCTAGAGAAAAAATATATATATTACTTGGTTACCTTGTTACATGAATAGTTATTTTCTAAATGACTTTCCCTCTCAAACCATGCAATTTTGACTTTTTTTGTGTACTAAGTCAATTATGTTCCTTTACATTTCTATACATAACCATTCATACTCCTAAAACCCCTTGTACATATGTATGTTTCCCAGAATCTTTTTTAATGCACTAAATCTATAATGTGTTCAAATTGCATGATTGTAAAAATTGTGTATTGAAAATACCTCTAGTTGATAGGCTGGAAATCTAGTTCATATTTTTTAAAATTGGAAATTTTAACCATACACAAAAAATTAAATGGCTACCGTACTTTACCTGCTGCTCTGACACTTGTCTTACTTATATACTTTGGGGTGGAGTGATGTTTATTCATAGTTCCAAAGTGTCTTTCACATTTCAAAGAAATAACGGTTAAATTTCACGTCAGAGCACTGAACACCCGGAGGAAAATGTAGAAATCTCGTGTCTTATTGCATGAGATTCAGTTGTATTCGTTTTTCTTCTAAAATGTTCATATGCAAGGCATTTTTGTTATTGCCTAGGAGAGAATACAGATAGAGAATGGTGCTCTTACAATATCAAACCTAAATGTGACCGATTCTGGCATGTTCCAGTGCATAGCAGAAAACAAACATGGTCTCATCTATTCCAGTGCTGAGCTGAAGGTTGTTGGTAAGACTGATTTTCTCTGTTCACATCTTCATTTTCCCATAATCCTCCACTGTTGCCAGAAGCTATCATGTTTACTTTGCATATTAGATTCCTACGTCTAATAACATTACAGTATAACAACATGATTATTCAGCATTTCTAATAAAGGCACACTGTTTATTTCTAAACAAAAGCAGCAGTTGTGTCCAGAGTTAAGGTCCAAAAGTTGAAGTAAATCCATAGATGGAAGAAAGTTCAGCTAACATATCTTTATCCAGGTCCAATGTTATCGACTAAGATTTGCTCCTCAAAAGCATAAGTGACATTGGTGTTCTCTGGCCTATGAAGGCAGATACCAGTATTTGAATTTAGAATGTTTGATTCAAAAGGATTTGTATTTGTCTTTATTAACCCTGGTAGAAGCATCAAATGCTGATCATGGTGAAGCTCTAATTAATCCTCTATTACTTAAAATTATGAATTGTCTTCTTGTTCTTCTAACTTGGGTATAGAAGAAGAAAGAAAATTTTCCATCAGGTTTAGGGCAATTGTCTTGAAGAACACTCAGGTTGCAGAAGATTAAAAATTCAACCAAAATAGTATAGGGTCGCATAACACAGAAAAGGACGGATAGGAGAGTGGGAAAAGGGATTGGGGGAAAAATTCATTGGTCCTCGTAATTAAATTAGACAATTTGGATTTTAGCGTAACTTGATCCTGGCAGGACTCACACAGCTCTTATAAGGTTCTATATAATGGTTTTCAAGATATTTAGCTTGTTACCATAGTTAATTTACTGGGAAAAGTGGCTGTTTTAATGACTCAAAGAGAACTCACTGTCCTGCATGTTATTGGTCTCATGTAAGCCAAATTGGGTATTTACCAATTGTTCACCCGGTCCATAGGGCCAACACAGTATAAGGCCCTGACTGCTGGATTTTAATTCAGTGATCCTCAACTGAAATCGGTTTTTTCCCCAGTGTATGTATTTGGAAACATCTGGATTTTTTTTGTCATAGCTAGAGGATCGGAGAGGAAGGGTCCCTTGTGTGATATTAGCGTATTGTAAGTGGAAGCCAGAGAGGCTGCCAGACTTTCCAAAATGCAAAGAGCCTCGCACAGTGAATGATTATCCAGCCCAAAGTGTTAAGAGAAGCTGAGAATCCCTAGTTGTATGGAAAATCAGTGTCTTGTCCCCGGTATCTGAAAGTTAGAAATGGATCATCCATACCAGGAATGATGCCTGTGAAGGAAGCATCATCAGTGGAAATCTGGATCCCACTCTCTGTCACAGAGAAGCAGGTGGTTACGAAAAAAATGGAAGTGGATTTGTTCCCACACTTTAAGTCCAAGTGCACTGTTGTTTTGTAGTAAGTGAACCAAAGGAGCCATAGTTTATTCATCTTCTGAATGGTTGGATTCATACTCAGTGTACTGTGTGGGGTTATGTGAAGGAAAAAGGATAGGATATGTTTTTAAAAGATTTTATTCAAATACAAATAGGTTTTTGTTTCAGAAAAAATTAATTTTCTAGGGTCTGATTTGTAAGACCAACAACTTCTGGATAATGTGTCTTCTTTTCCATAATCATATGGAAATCATAGCTATTTCTTATTATAAGATGTCAACTTACCAAAACAATATATTGTATTCTCTGGGATTTTTAATAAAAGAGCATTAGATATCTGGTAAAATCTACTAGGTTCTTAACTTTTTTTCTACATGTGTAATAAAACAGAAAGTGTTTTCTGATAAACCTATTATTGCATTCCAGTAATACATTATTATATATCCTGACCATTCAGGTGTTGTTTCAGAATTGGTACCTCATGCATTATTGGAAGACATCATGTTTTCTGCATGTTACAGTATTTAATGCAACATTATGACATGTAGTATAGTATTCACATTATATGTCCCTTCCCCACACGGGAAGTTAAATTCAATCATACGAAAATTTTATAATAGAACTTGGTACATCGTTTTAGTGAGACTATTAGTTCCATATTCGGCCTTCTTTCTGTGATCCTTTGCTGAGCGTCTGCCAAGTGCCAGGCTCCACACCACATGCTGGAGCCCAGAGGGCAACAGAGAGCAAGCTGATCTCCCTGTCTTCATAGGACATAAACTTTTATAGTCATTCTATGCTAAGTGATTTCCTCTAAGAAATTCATCTGGGAGCTATTTTTGATCTTCATAGTAAACACTAAAAATTCTTATATAAAGAAATTGTCTCAAAATGTAGAACTTGCCCCAAATTCTGTAGCATGAAGCTCTTTTCTGGCCCTGAAATCTGTGTATGCTGCACAGTAGATCAAGCCCCAGCACCCACCAGGCCAAGCATAATAGTAAAATGGTCATACAGATGACCTTTCCATTTTAAAGAAAAAAATCCAACTTTCAGGAAGCCCATGATCCCAACTCTCATTCTTTTTTTTTTTTCCTTTTCAGCCTCTGCTCCCGATTTTTCAAAGAACCCAATGAGAAACCTGGTCCGGGTGCAGGTGGGCAGCCTGGTGAGCCTGGACTGCAAACCCAGAGCTTCCCCCAGGGCGCTGTCCTCCTGGAAGAAAGGAGACACAGCAGTGCAGGAGCATGAAAGGTATCTCCTCCGAGATGTGTGGTTCTATCCTCTGAACTGTGGTGGTTTCCTTACCTTAACTTTCAAATAGTCACAGTAGGATTTCCGGAAGAAATGCCACAGAGCAGTATCTCAGGAGGTGTGAGGTATTTAGGAATCAAATTAGTAGTATCTTTGTTTTACAGTATTGTCACTATGACAGTAATCAGTCTTTGAAATCTAACAATAGAGATGTGCCTACCTAACTTCTATGTACAGATAATTTCTTCTTCTTTTTTTTTTTTGTTCGTTTGTTTTGTTTTTCTTCCAATACTAGGAATCAAACACACGACCTTGCTCTTGCCAGGCAGGCGCTGTGCCGCTGAGCTAAATCCCCAGCCCTGATAATTTCTTCTTATAGCAAGTATTTCCTTCCCAGTCCTCTTGCAAGATTCAACCAGAAAAATAAAATTGTCCCCAGATGCGGGTTAACATCCCAGGATAAAGAGAAGATAATAAACTGAAAGCCACATGCAAAGGAAATACTAAAATTGCGGTCCTCCTATCCTGAAATTACTTAGCACTATTGATATTTAATTTAAGCAAAGTTGGTCTGCAGGTGGTGGATTATTATTAAGTTAATTTAAGCAAAACTTCACCCCCAGTATTCTGATTATCTTCACAATGAAATGAAGAGGCGGAATAGAGCTTACTTAAAGCATAGATTCTGGAACCTTGCTTCCAGTGTTCAGATTTTCACTCTACCTTTCACCCGCTCAGTGATGTGCCTCACTTCTCTATGCCTCATTTCTTTATTTGATAATGGGGATGATGATAATGGTTTATATCTCATGTCGAGATGATTACATGGATAAAATATATAAATATTCATAAAGTGCTTAAATCAGTACCTGGTAAAAAATAATCATAGGCACTGGCTATAATTCCTATTTATTAAATACTTTCATCTTACAAATGTTATGCTCAGGGCTTGTGAGGGCAAAATAATAGCCCCCGAAACCATGTTCTTACCCTGGACACCTGTGGCCATGTTACATTAAGTGGCAAAGGTGATTAAAGCTGAATGTAGATTAAAGGTTGATAATTAGTCAAATGTAAGACAGCATAACCTGCCTGTGTGAGGGGGCCGATATTACTCACCTGAGCCCTTCAAAGAGAAAGAGGAAGGTGGAGGGAATAGCCAGAGAGGTGTGATCAAAAAAGAAGCAGCAGGAGGTCCATGAAGCATGGCAGGGACCTTGGTGGTGTTGCTGGCTTTGAAGATTGTGGAAGCTGCACTAAATTTATGAAATGAGGACTTCCTCAGTCCCATAACCTCAAGGAGCTATAATTTGCCAGTAGCCTTCAGAACAAGGGTAGCTCTGTCAGTTCCTTGATGGTAAGCCAGTGAGACCTGGACTGCACTGAAAGAAAAGGAATTCACCAAGAATGGTCAAAAGATACAGTGCATGTTTAAATTTAAAAAATTACAGTAAAAGAGGCTGCATGAATTCCCCTCGAAATACTTGCAATTCAAACAGTTACCTATGGTTCTCACCGCTTCATATATATTTTTATGATGAGGTCTGGTAAAATGTACAGTGAATGCTTCTGCTGAGTGCCCTCCAGCAGAAAGCACAGAAAAACATTACCGTATGTACAGATCCACCTTATTCACAGTATCTGGCACTATGAGACTTCTGGATTTTCCCCAAGGTCAAAATGACAATGAGGGGCAAACATTTTGGATGGATTAACCACATTGGGGCAGCCACAAAAAAGACACTCACAAAAGAGGAATTCCAGAGGTACTTCAGAAAGTGGCAAGAATAATGGGAGAAGTACGTGTAAAGTGAGGGGAGTATTTTGAGGAGAAATAATGGCCACATATCTTGTAGTGTTATACATTTTTGAGTGGAGAGAGGAGAAGGGAAGTAAAAAGGATCAAGATGCAAGATATATATTATTTGTTTATCCCAATATCCCACAATAATGTAATCACTGTGAATCATAAATACATACCAAAGAAATTTTACTGTATTTTTTTGTACCAGAAATCGAACTCAAGACCTCATGTTGGCCAGGCAGGTGCTGTGCTGCTGAGCTATGTTCCCAGGTCATGAAAGAAATTTTAAATGTTCTCTCAATTTTTCTACTGCCCTGTGTATTTAGGCTTAGTTTTCTAAGTCTGTCATAATTTCTTACAGCAGCAATAGGAAACTTAATACCAAGCTCTACACAAATTATCTCCCGTAAACTTCTATGTAACCAATGCAGAGACCAAAGTTTAGAGGGATCGTGTTATTTTGCCTAAGGTCACAGATTCAGAACTGGAACCATGTCTGTCCTGCTCTAGAACAGAACCAGTCAGCTCTTTGGGTGGCCCTTGTTTTGTACAGCACCCCAGATGATGTGAGGTGCTCTCAAGCTTTGAAGTCAACAGTCCCAAGCACTTCTTTTGGAAATGAGAGAGAAGCAAACTGTACAAGCTTAGCCCACGTTATGTGTGTTTGCTCTTTTAGAATCATGAAGTCATACTGCATATGACAAGGTGGATTTGCTTTTAGATGATAGGCCCAGAGCTGTTTTTATATGAGTTGGTTGTGACAACACAACATGCAATTTCTTCATTCTTCGAGGTGAGACACCTTCGTTAAAAGCACAGCAGGAGGACAAGAGGAACCTGCGAACAGAACAGTGAAACACTATCCAGCCAAATGTGAGGCTGCAGAGAACAGATTTCTGGAACAGAAAATTGGTGATCTGAAGCTTGATTTTTATAGAACAGTTTAAACAAGTATGGATTTATGATGCAAACTGGTTACTTTTGACTATGGTAGAAGTTGTCTTCCTATACAACTGCTGATTTTTTGTGTGTACATTTGAAATCGTTTTGTTTGCATACATAGAATTAAATGATGACTGCTTTCTGGGGACTTCGATGCTTTGCACAATAATAAACCCACTTGTCCTCGCAGGATTACACATAGTAGCCAGCGGACTTTAATCTTAGTTTTATAAGAGGATAAGAAAAATAAGAGATTTAGCATAAGTGAGCCACACCAGAAGTTTACCCCACATAATACAGTGATGGTTAAGGAAAAACACTGTAGGTTCCAGAATCTAAACAGATAATTCTGATTTGGCTACTTAGTTCTTTGGTCTGCTTAGCCACTTTTGTGTTATATCTGAACCTTACTTTTTTCATTTATTAAATAGAAATAATACTATCATACCTATTTGCCTTAAGGTAAGCATTTAGCATAGTGCCTTATATTTGTACATATACCAATCAGTAAGAATGAGGTTATATTAAAAATTAAATGGTGAAGGGGCTGGGGATTTAGCTCAGCGGCAAAAGCGCCTGCCTGGCAAGCGCAAGGTCGTGAGTTCGGTTCCCGGTACCGGAGAAAAACAAAAAAAACAAAAAAAACAAAAAAAAAAAATTAAATGGTGAAAGTAATAACAACTGAGATAGATCAAAGGATTTTTGTGTGCTGGTTAGGTGTTCCGTGGCTTACTGGTCTTTCTGAAGGTAGACATTCAAGACTAACTGTGTCCTTCAGGGAGAAGAGCTCTGCTATCTGGTGGCCCCAACATCCTCACCTCATAAAACAAGATGGCTGCCTGAGTCACACTGTCCTAGTGATAACCAAGGCAATACAAGGAGGAAGGCAGACATAAGGATTCCATATTCTTGTCACATTCTTCCTGATACCTTACTGATTATAAACTAGTGCCCTGGATACATGACAAAACAGGGTGGAAGTATGCTTTTGTTTTGTTTTGTTTATTGTTTGTTGGTTTTTTCCCTCTGGATAGCTGTGTGCCTAATAAAAAACACTGGGAATCTGGTAAGAAGGATAGAGGGGAAAATGGCTGCCACTCCAGCAGTATCTCAGTGAAAGCCAGGTCTCAGCCCCTTTCAGGCTCCTCCACTTTGCATGCGGTATTTCAACTTCTCCCTTTTGGATACTAAGGAAGCTTTTGGATAGTTAGGAGGCAGAAGCATGCTTTTGGAAGTTAGGAGGCAGAAGCATGCTTACACGGAGGGTCTGTAGTCCTCTAGTCTTTCCTAGGATTATGGTTTGGATTTAGTTTTTATCTCTTTGGACAGCAAAACCGGTGATGATCCAGGGTCTTGATGCTCAGGGAGAAGCCTGCTAGAAGCAATTATGGAACAAGTTGTGGATTTGAATCTTCTCCAAGTCCATGGGAAATCAGAGCAGGCGCAGCCATCAGTTGGCAGGCAAAGCCCCATATCTTTCCCTCTTGACTTGGTTTGCAGACTTCAGCCAAAACGGGGAAACATGTTAAATGGTAGATTTATTGCTGCTGTTTAGTCATAGATTGCTCCAATTTAGAAATTGCAAATATAAATCTCATTTTGGGGACAAATGAATTTATCAATGCCTTTGAGAAGAAAAAAGTAAGGGACAAATTTGGTGCGACATTTATGACAAGATTAGAAATTTCTGTCCCATTTTAGTTAGCTAGTTTGAGGGTACTTTTGGTTTTGTTTTGGTAAATAAACTTTGATTTGTCAGTGGATAAAAAACATAGGGTAAATAGGAAAACTTTCTCTAACATAGCATAGGGCTTCTGTAGCAAATATGTTTTGATTAAGCAAATATTCTATTATTTATTATCATTCAACTTCAAATCAAACCAAACAATCCAAGAGTTAAATTCTTTTTAAGAGGTGTATCAACTGATAAATATAAGTACTATATAAATTGTAAAATATGTTTGAATAATTACAATCTATTTCTTGTATAAGTTTCTATATCAGCACAATAACAGCTTTGGAATTATAAATAAGTCATGGTAATTGGATCTAAGTCAGTGATACGCCTAAATTGTCTCAATACACCTGAACTGTCTCAAAAAAGAGTTGCTGCTTTTAAGTATGAAGAACATTTTAAGCTAAGGTTATAAATGGATTACTGCCCAACAAAGGTCTTAGAAAAGCTGCTCTAAATAGATAACAGGGCTTACGGTGCAAATAGTGATTCCTGAGCACTTGGAATTAAGTTCTCATG